GTGTTTGTATGTAATATTTGTGTTAGATTGCAGTAGTGTGTTTGTACGTTGTGCTGGTGTTTGACTGCTTGGATGTATGCACATACATACATACATACATACATACTTATACAGATATTCATGCACATTAACACGCAGATGCATATAAATACACCAACACATACACACAAATTCATATAGGCACCGACACATACACATATGCACCCTGACACACACAGACATTGATACATGTCCACACCATGACACAGATACACACTGACATAAAAACACACACCCTGACACACAGATGCACACTGACATATATATATATATATATATATATATATATATACACACACACACACAGATGCACACCCTGACACACACTCATACACATACACACACACTCACACTCATACACATACAAACACTCACACACAAACACATGCACATACACATACACTCACACACATACTCATACTCACAAACATACAAACACTCATACACATACACACACACATGATTTTTTTTTATTTATCTCCAGCCACCCTCCTATTAGCTTACCTTGTGTGTCCAGGAGTCCTGGTCCTGCTGCTGTGGGAGTGAGGTGTCTGGAGCTTTTCATGTTCCTCTCCCCTCATGCTGTGGCTGCCTCCTCTCCCTTACCATGCTGTCTCCCTGCAGGATGCTGGGAGGAAGTGACAGGCTGTCACTTCCTCCCAGCCGTCCGACATTACAAGGGCCTGGTCGCGGTCTTAAAGGATCGCGGCACTTGGCCGGGACCCTGTTGAGCAGTAATGTTTCCCCGGTGCTATAATCATAGCATCAGGGAAACATTCCGCGGCAACCCTGTGTGCATGTCGCGGTGCCGCTGTGCTAGAAGATCAGCCATTTAGGAGTTCAATCATTATTCTGTGTATGCAGCCCTTAACACAGCTCTCCTGTCTGTGACTCACACAGCCTGCATGAATTATATGGTTTCATTTTTTAATCAGATGTTAACTTACTTTAGAAATTTGTATCTCCTTCCCCAATACATTTTATTAGGTTCCCCACCATGAGGGCAAGGGGACCTGGGCCAGGTCCCACTGTATTGGATTAGCTAATAAAGGTCCCTTCTTGTCTTTTTTTATAACTGCGAGCAGCCACTGACTGCTTGCTGTTTAGTAGATATCCCCCTACTTATTGCATGGCAGGTAGGGGCAGGAGGCAAGATTTAATCTCCATTATTTGCTAATACTGTACTAAGTATTTTTTACTTAGTATTAATAAAGTTGTCTGAAAGAAAAAGCCAAAAAGAAATGGCTTTTTTTGTAATTTTGGGCTTTCAGCTTCTTAGTAGATAGCTCTCTAATCTTGGTGTGATTGCCATAAGGATACCAAAAAGGAGCTATCTACTAAACAGCTACCTAATTAGGTACCCTAAAACATAGCAAGCCCACACGGGTGCCAATTTAGGGAGTTACCTACTAAATGGCTGCAAGTTGCAGTCGGGGCCCGCATCAGAGTTTCATTTGTCCAAATCAAATTCCAATATGAAAATAATGACTGAATGTCGTCAGAAAGCAAACAGACAAAATTCGGTTCTGAAAAAACAACAGAAGAATGATATGGAGTCGCCATGAATACGTATCTGGTGCCGCCAAGATTAGCGTAATAATAGGTAAAGGGAGCTGATTTTGGAGCAAAAAATATGGATAAAAAAAAAGTTTATATGTGCTAGAGCCGCCTTAAAGGAACACAATAGTCACCTAAATTACTTTAGCTAAATAAAGCAGTTTTAGTGTATAGATCATTCCCCTGCAATTTCACTGCTCAATTCACTGTCATTTAGGAGTTAAATCACTTTGTTTCTGTTTATGCAGCCCTAGCCACACCTTCCCTGGCTATGATTGACCGAGCCTGCATGAAAAAAAAACTGGTTTCACTTTCAAACAGATGTAATTTACCTTAAATAATTGTATCTCAATCTCTAGATTGAACTGTAATCACATACAGGAGGTTCTTGCAGGGTCTAGCAAGCTATTAACAAAGCAGGGGATAAGAAAATATTAAAGGACCACTCTAGGCACCCAGACCACTTCAGCTTAATGAGGTGGTCTGGGTGCCTGGTCCAGCTAGAGTTAACCCATTTTTTCATAAACATAGCAGTTTCAGAGAAACTGCTATGTTTATGAATGGGTTAAGCCTTCCCCTATTTCCTCTAGCGGCTGTCTCATTGACAGCCGCTAGAGGCGCTTGCGTGCTTCTCACTGTGATTTTCACAGTGAGCACGCCAGCGTCCATAGGAAAGCATTATGAATGCTTTCCTATGTGACCGGCTGAATGCGCGCGCAGCTCGTACCGCGCGTGCGCATTCAGCCGACGGGGAGGAGAAGAGGAGGATCGGAGGCGGAGAGCTCCCCGCCCGGCGCTGGAAAAAGGTAAGTTTTAACCCCTTTCCCCTTGCCAGAGCCGGGCGGGAGGGGGACCCTGAGGGTGGGGGCACCCTCAGGGCACTATAGTGTCAGGAAAACGAGTATGTTTTCCTGGCACTATAGTGGTCCTTTAATTAAACAGAACTTGCAATAAAGAAAGCCTAAATAGGGCTCTCTTTACAGGAAGTGTTTATGGAAGGCTGTTCAAGTCACAAGCAGGGAGGTGTGACTAGGGTTCATAAACAAAGGGATTTAACTCCAAAATGGCAGATGATTGAGCAGTGAGGCTGCAGGGGCATGTTCTATACACCAAAACTGTTTTCATTAAGCTAAAGTTGTTCAGGTGACTAAAGTGTCCCTTTAATGAATATCTACGTATAAAGATAGGGGAGTGCTGCATATTATATTAGGGTCTTTACAAACATTATGCTGCCCTTGCCATCTATGGCAAATAAAAATAGCAGGAAAAAGATGAACTTTCTGTTGCAAAAATGTGTAACAGACTATTAATACATTGAATTTCCAATACAAAAGAAAAATGTCAGAAAAGATACAAAAGTGATAAAGAATGAAGAACACCAGGATTCATAATTCGTGCTAGAATATTCAATATTTGAAATTTTTGCACCACATTTTAGAAGTGTAGATGTTGATAACCACCCCCACCATCTCCATTTTCTTTTTAAAGGCTGAATAACCTACACAAATACCTGAAGCAGAGTGATGACGGTCATTATTTTACTGTAGATTATTTTGTGACACATTTATAAATCTCTCTTATATTTCTTATGTATAAAAAGGAAAGGTTCTAAAAGGATCGATCATCGTGTGAACCAATGGAATTATTTTTGCAGACTGATCTTTGCCTCGGAACTCTCTTTAGATAAGTCCCATATTCTCTCTCTCACACTTACCACTTCTGTGAGTCTGTACATGGATGGAACAGTAACACATAGTAAAATGCATATTATTCAGACTGTTCTCAATGCAATAAACTTGACTGGGTCCTCCTGTGCTGGAGTGTGTAAGGTGAGCACAGTAATGATGCATTTCCTCTCTTTTCATAAGAGTGTCACCTTTCACAGCCCTCTGTGAGGCACACTTTCAGACACATGGACATTGTCTGCAACCCTACACTGCAATTAGGCTAATGTCTCTGTTGTCTGGCACAGTCTGAGATCAAAAGGAAAGTGTGGCTCTCCCAGCCAGGACATGAGGTGTGAAAGTGTGCTTCTCAGAAAAACCTTGTTCACATAGTCTGCTCATCAAAGGAGGGGGAAGCCTGTATCTAATGCTCTAAACAATCATTAACTGTCTACACTTGACATCTCAAAATACTGATTGTTTTCTTTGTAAGCAGAGATCAGACGCATTTTAGATAGAGTTTCTCGTGTTCATTACTATAGCATGCTCAGTATCAATGTCAGGGATATTATTTCATGCATTATATAATGTTAAATATAAATAATAAAGAAACTTCCTACTTGTGTTAAATTTTAGAAAAATATTAAATTGATCAATGGCCTATAAGGCCTGGATCTCGGATGTTTAGGCACTGACATTTTGGAGCAGAGCATTATTAGGACATGATGAATTGCACTAAACATCTTTGTGTTAATTGAAATTAATTGAAACAATAATTTTAGTTTTTGAATGCAAAACCACTTTAATGTTATCACATTGGGGGAAATTTACCAAAGTGTTATGTTCTGAAAAGTGGTGCAAAGATGGAATAGATGAGCACTCATTAATGGGATGTGGATGGGGTTTGCACTGGTTTACTGAACGTGACACTTTGATATATCTCCTCATTAGAGTTCATCAGTAATCTTTAATCATAATCCAGACCATAATCTCTAGCCATAATCAATAACCTCTAACAATAGCTTCTAGCACAAAACCATAATTGAAAACCTTAGCTCTAACCTCTGTTCCCACTAAAGAACTCTAATCTTTCATCGTTGAATGTAGGTGGATTCATGTACATTTTATTTTTCTCTTAAAGAGATTTTTTCTTTTCAAGTGGAGATTTAAGAAAGGCACACAAATATGTCCACAAATGTGTGGTAGATGATTGCAACAAATTGAGAGAATGTAATAAGACATTGATGGAAGAATTTTAGCAGGATTTAAATGAATCCAGAACATTAAACTTTACTGGGATAAAACGAGCTTCAGATTACAAACATAAAACGAAACAACAAATATATATATATGTAATTTGTAATTCCCTTATCCCACATGAGTGAGGTAAGAGGACCTGGCTGTTTTTAAACTTGGCCTCGATGTCTAAATTAAGTGTTTATTATTTTATACTCTTTATACTCTTTATGCTTTTAGTTGATAATAGACCGGCATAGAACAACTTTCGTATACTAAACCAAAAAAAGTGCTTAGGCACTTCTTTAAATAATAAAGTGCATGTGCATTGCAAAGCAATAACGTGGATCTCACAGCCACAGTACATAATAAAGTAAACAAGCAAACAGTGTAAAGTGTACACAGCGCAAAACAAAGGGAACCAATCCCAAAATAAACAAAAGACTATAAATGACAATAATCTCCTTAATAGCAATGGGGATAAAGATGGAGAAGAATGATGTGGTCGAGAGCCATGGTCAGACCCTGTAAATACAATGTAGGGGTGCCCTTTTCTCGGGCTCAGATAATCAGGAGAGGTATGCAGGAACCAACTAAACTAAACAGTCTTCCTCAGGTGCCTGAGGCCAACGTTTGTATACAGACTTGAAACTATTTTAGTCTTTTAACGTTTCTTTAAAATACTATAGTTTTCTATTATGATGTTAGTTAATGGACTCCAGTATTTAGTGGGTAAAAAACACTAGTTATAGCTCAATACAGACTGACACAGAAGGGGTTAAGGGCAAGTTTGTAGTCTTGCCAAGTCCCCTATCCAGTATTTAATCCAGAAATCGTTATTACTGCCACTGTTCATATAGTGGTAACATATTTTGCAATGCTGTACAATATTAGTTTATGCAATAACATGTTCTCCAGATAAATGCTTGGCCTTATGGTGTTTTCATGCTTCTGGCACTGAAATTATTAATAATTTGTCAGTTATAATCAAAGCAGACTTTTGTTGAATTTGTATCATTATGTATTTCTTAGGCTATGTTAACGGACGATTAAAGGCACCCAGACCACTTCATTGAGATTTATCCCTGCAATGTAATACATTGCTGTTTATTAGATAAGGCAATGTTTACACTGCAGGGTAAATATGCCTCTATTGGCTGTTTTCCTAACAACCACTAGAGGCGCTCCCTCACAGCTAGCCTTCATTTTATTGGAGGAACGCAGGACTTGGCGCACATGCGCTTTTAATCCCCAGTACTCCTCATTGAGGGGCATTGGATTGGATGAAAGAGAAGAGTCAGCATGACAATGAAGAAAAAAAGTGGGGGGACCTTAAACCAACACTATAGCATAAGGAATACAGGTTCCTTTAATGTTAGTAAGTTTAGTTTACTGTAATGTTTAGTTTACACTAATAATATCTACATATTATGTCAATTTATTTAAAATCTAATAATATGACAGGCATAGAAAGTGATAAGATATTTAGGAAGCACACTACAGTTTCTTAGTCTACATTAACCCTTAAAATAAATTTGAACTATAAATAAACAGTTGAAATTACTTGAATATAGATTTAAACATTAACACATTTTCAAGATCTACTATTTGTACCCAATTTTTGCAAGCTGATCCACAGTTCATTGTTTAGTGAAAAAAATGTTTAAAAAATATATTTTATTTTTTAAATTAAAATTTATACGTGTTTATATTAGTGTATGGTAATTATCCACGTGGAATTAATAAAGTTTTAGTTTGTTTTGTTAATAATTTTATGAATGAATTCCAATGTTTTTACAGCACTATAAAATGTGATTTTTTAATTTATTATTTACTACTAATACTATTAATTCAATTATTTGCTACATTGTAGGGTGTTTTGCTACTATTAATACAAAAAAAAATCCACTTTTTTCTAATTCAAATATGAACACATGCCATGTTTGATATTAGGCAATTAGTATGGAAAATGTTAAAATAATTTAGTAATTAACCAAAAGCTTGATATATTCTGAAGAATTACATAATTGAAGGTATACATTAATACAAATAATCATCATTTGTCATCATTATCAAATATAATTTAAATCATGTTTATTTCTACTTTATTTTTTTAATGAAAAATAAAATGTTATTGGTGGATTTCTGATGAAGAATACGTGTTTTTTTTAGTCCTTTTTTTAATTAATCTATTAATTAAACAACAAGTTGACAGCTATTGAAAAAAGCAGAAATAGTCAACTTTTTTTTATTTAAAGATAACGCAGATATAACAGTTTTTCTGCAATTTTATCTTAAATGTGCAAGTCACTCAAATAAATTTACTTTAGTGAATCGATCTTAATACAAAATTAAAATAATCATATACACATGAGAAAAAGTTTAAAAAAATCCTTAAATAATTAAAAAAAAGATTAAATATAAATGTTACATTAAGTTTGGTTAAAACATTTTTAAGTATGCGTTTTAAGCAATATTTATTTATTATTCTTTAGGTTACATGGCTGTAACATAGTCCATAGCGTTGTGCAATGGTATTGATCCTGGGAGCACACAGCAGATGCACTAAGTGATTTTTATAGTCTGTAGATCTTTATCACACTTTCATGTCCTTCCTCACAGTACAAGGCCCAGATGTTCAGCTAGTCTGTCACCATTCAATGTGACATACTTAATTTGTCCTCCTGAGAGCCATGTGATTGGCTGCCAAGTGTGGGAACCTGTAGCAGGCTTGAGCTCCACACCTAATTATGCAGGCTCAGGGATATAAAGGGGGAATGGCTGATTACAAGAAGACAGACAGCAATAGTATCTCACAGCAGCTCTACTGATACAGTGACAAAGCATGGCTCCCTGTCTACCAATGCAGAAGGCTGATTGCCAGGCTGAAAATGGAATGAGAAAGGTAAGCTTGGATACTTATGGATTCATTACACGCGTTTGACTTTTTATGTAATTGTTCATATAGAAAATAATGTTAAAATGGATGTGACAGTATAGAAACCACTGTGCATATGGAGTTTGAAAACTTTAGTAGTTGCTTTTTTCTGCAGATAAATATATATAAATGGCGCAGTGCATTAAATTTAGATATTATCTAATAAATTATGTAATATATTTAATTTCTTTTCTTTCTCTCTCTTCATTTTCTTTCTTTCCCTATGCTGCCATTCATTTGCCCCTATATCAGGTTAATCTAAATACTAAGACAATCCAGAAACATTTAATATTAGTATTATAGTATAAAGTATAGAAATATTGCCTAATTGCCAGCAATAATGTCCGAGAGAGTAAATGACATCTGAGTAAATGAATAATAATAATAATTTCTATGTTCCTTTCTCCAGCTCAGGAAGCCAGTGATTGAGAAGATGAGGAGAGATCGGATTAACAGCAGCATTGAGCAGCTCAGGGTGTTACTGGAGAAAGAGTTTGACAAACAGCATCTTCCATCCAAACCAGAGAAAGCGGATATTCTGGAGATGACAGTGACCTTCCTGCAGCAGCAATTGGCTGGGAAAAGTAAGTAACATTCAACCCATTCATCTTTAAATATATTTTATGCCTGAAAAGAACTTGTTCTCTTAGTGATGTTTGTAGCACCAGTAGTCTGACTTATTTCTCTTTATTTTTGTTTCCAGCTGTGATAACCCCAGGCCAAGCCCACGCTGAAGGCTACTGCAAATGTGTCCAGGACTCTTTGAATTATCTGTCATGTTACGATGGTCAGAGTTACCAACAGATAAAGCAATTTCAACCTCCTCAATTTGCATCCCAAGACATGTCCCATGTGACATTGCACTCCTCTCCACCGTCTGTAAACTCTGCTCACAACTGGAATGGGCAATTTCTGCCAAACACCACCAAGAGCTTATGGAGACCGTGGTAATGGTGTGAAGACGGTCCTTCAAAAAGACTTCAAACATTATGGCAAAGCAAATTTGAATGTACTTATACCCGAGATGTATTCTCCAATGTGAACGAAGTATGTTTGTCAGAGTTAGCTTAATATCTGCAAACTAGACCCCAGAGACAACTAGTAGATGCCTCTCTGCCTATGGCAAAACTACATTTCCCATGATGCATTGTGGGCATTTAATTTTATAAGTGCAGGACAAACTGTTGACCAGTTATGCACTAGAGTAAAAATTTTTTGTAGATATAAAACTTTGCACATTTTATATTTTTAATATTAAGGGCTTATCCGAGATTGAATAATTTTTTTTTTTAATGTAAAAGAGAACTCACAAATCTCAGGATTTGTAATAATCCGTTTTACTTATCCCTTACATTTTGCAAAAATATTTTTTATGTGTTTTGGAAAATTAAATTAAATGTAGAAATCCCCACATCTATCCTGAAACTGAGTGCCTCTTTTGGCTCCCTGTCAAATGTTTTAGCCTTTAAACATATTATGTCTTCTCCCCCTCTAATGCTAAGTGTCCCCTGGCTGTGCCAGAGAAGTGCCAGTTTCACTTTAAGACATATACATATCCAAGGTTTAACTCTGTAGGAGCCAGGGCATGGTAACTGAATTGGTTAAACCTCTAACGTTGTGCAATATTTGCATCATATTATTATGGTACAGAACGTTTTTTGGTTTTTTTAAGTAAGTCTGTTTACATCGGCAATCTGTATCATTATTTATGTGATTTCAAATGAGATAATATTTTGTATATCTTCAGTTTAGAGATAATATATATTATAATGATCTATTTCCTTTATGAGGAATTACATTAACATGTTGCGCTGACTCTGTGGTGCACAACGGGTTAATGAGTCCTCCTTTCTATTGATGAGTGTTTGTCTATGTGGAAAGGGGGATGTTTTTTTTCTCAGTGAAAAAACAACATTATTTCTGTGAAATGAACTTTTTTTTTTATTATTATTAAATGAGTTGTTGTATTATGTTGTACAGTGCCAGTAATATCTTTATGGTATATTGCTGTATTGCCTCATCCAGCTGTTTTTGATATGAATGCAAGTGAATAAATGCAAAACAAATTTAAAAATGTGTAAGCGTGTCCTCAATGACTAAACTAATTAAGAATATTACATTAATTGTAACACTAATTACATCAGGGGTTATTAGATACTCCATGTTTTAGTATTACGTCATGTTGATGAGCAGCACATGAAAAGGGTTGCCCTACAGTATGTACAGTTCACACGCTGCAGGTTTCCACATAGATTAGAGCAGGCTTCCCCAAACTCCAGCCCTTCAGATGTTGCTGAACTACAACTCCCATGATTCTATGAATGAAATAGATAGTCTGGGAATCATGGGAGTTGTAGTTCAGCAACATCTGGAGGGCTGGAGTTTGGGGAAGCCTGGGTTAGAGGAAGACTGCAAGTACCCAAATCAGTGTGCTCCATTGACTTTTTAGATTAGAAGTCCTCTCTCCCTGTCATGTGATGACTCTGTCTCATAGATAAAACAATAACCTGATAAGAAATGTATGAGTAAAAGTGTAAAAAAAAAAAAAAAAAAATAGTAAAAAATAAACTTGATGAGTAAAAGTACTAAATAAAAAAATTAGTAAAAAATAAAATATCCATTTTAAGTTATAAAAATATCTAAATATAGATTTAGATATTTTTATAACTTAAAATGTATCTTTTATTTTTTTACTAATCTCAATTTTTTTGGACTTTTACTCGTCAATTTTATTTTTTACTAATTTGAATTTTTATAGAATTATTTTACGCTTTTACTCATAAATTTCTTATCAGATTATTGTATTATCTATGAGATAGAGTCATCACATGACAGGATAGAGAGGACTACTAATCTTTTATATTCTTAACTATAGGTTAATAGGTTCCCTATTCCTCTCTACCCATCTAACTTTACTACATTTAAGCAGTAGACTGTCTTCATATTTTTGTTTTCTCTAATTTTGCTCCACCTAACTTCTATTTTTATATCCATTTACTTTTTACCTGGGGTGCACCTGGCTGCTCCCTCCCTCCCTGCAGGGCTAGCTTAGGTGATTTGATAGACGCTCCTAATAGGAGCTTCATGCTTGCACTTTCGCCTGCAGGGAGTCAGGGAGCGGTGCAAGGAGTCAGGGTGCCAGGAAGTGGTTATGGTGCTTGGAGGTTTTATTTAATCAATGTGAAAGCCTGCAGCATATGAATTGTACATACTGCAGAGTGCATATTACGGTGCTTGGAGTATTTAAATACTACATAATACAGGACAGTACTTACCTTGTGCTGCCCAATATGTATAAGTAATATGTGTCCAAGAAAACATGATAAACCCTGTCAGTATAAGAAGGGCATATATAACACAAAACCAGGACAGCAAATATACAAAAGGCTTTATTCTCTAAATACTGAATTGGAAGCTAAACTGCAAAATTTGGGCTAAAATACCATATTTGTGACTATAACTGAGTTTTTGAATGTTTCCAAATCAGCTGTATTTGCCTACATTTTGGAATTCAGTTTACATTTCACTACAATCCCCTGTTTAGTGAATAAACCCATAATTTAATAATATTAATGAAACTTTAAAGATCATTGCTGTCCGCAATTCGACTTTATAGCCATATATGAAACCATATTCACATTTATAAATTGGAAATTTCAAGCATATAAATCAGTGGTTCCCAAACTTTATAGGTTCAAGGTGCCCTTAATATTTCAATATTTTTCCAAAGCACCCCAAGTCAAAACAATTTTCTAGGTTTTATATATGTACAGCGCTGGGCCCCTGTTTGGCAGAAATGCTGTGTGTGAAGGATGTAGTGTGTGTGTGTTATGGGCGCAGTGTGTGTGTATGGGGGAGCAGTGTGTGTATGGGGGGGTAGTATGTGTGTATGGGGGAGCAGTGTGTGTATGGGGGGTAGTGTGTGTGTGTACGGGGGGGGGAGTTATTGTGGGTCTGTGGGGGTAGGAGGGCAAATTCATAAATATATATATTTTTAGTTAAAAACAATTGTTTTCATATCCCCCCTCTCTGCTTACCTTTACCTGGAAGGGGGGACACTACAAGGCAATCCCTGGTGGTCTATGGAGAAGCCCTGGTGGTCCCAGTGGTGAGAGTGAACTCTAGCAGCCTCAGGAGCTGCAAAAGTTCACGCTCGCGAGATTCAGAGCGTTGCCATGGTAACCGCGACAACACTTTGACCTTACGACAGGAGAACCCGGCGGAGCTGCAAGTTAGAGCTCCCCCTGGCCCTCTCTCCCTCTCCTGCCGGCTGCCAGCATTACACTGCTGGCGGGGCAGTGAGGGAGATATCTCTTTTCCTCTCCGGTCCTGTAGAGCCGACAGGGTAGAGTGAGGCATGGTTTCCGGTGTTATAAGCATAGCATCAGTTAAACATTTTGTGTGCCTGCCACGGTGCCCTGGGGAACTGCTGATATTAAATCAATCTTCACAAGTTGGCTGAGGCAAATATAGATCCACTGGGGGAACAATCGGAAAAAGGGGGAATGCCGATGGGTTATGAGGCACATAGGCAGCATAACTGTCCGAACAGAGGGCTTGTGCAGGCCCAGACTGGTCATATGGCATGCTGGGCAAATACACGGTGGGTCAATGTCCAGTAATTGGGTTTGGCTTCAAGTCATCATTACAGTCTAGCAAAGTGCTGGGTTGCAGGCCACATGCTTGTTATTTGCAAGGAGATGGCAGGGGAATCACACTCTAGGCTGCAGGGTCTACTTACAATCAAATTGCTAAATTTGGATTAAAATAGCTCAAATGGCCATTAATTTTTTTTCAGCTTTTCTATTTCGGCCTAAATTTTGCAATTTACTTAGCCTTTCACAGCCATTCACCGATTTATTGAACAGAACATATTTAACAATAGCACATGATATTATTTTATCCATTATTAATGCAGTTAATGATGATTATGGGATTCAAAGGAACACTATATATAAGTATAGGTCCCTGGCCCACCTGTAGGGAGTAAAAAAAATTGTTTATGCACCTTTTCTCCCTTGCAGTGACAGTCTCCGCACTGCCATCCTGCCTTCTTGGCTGAGCTCATCAAGGTCGATGATCTCAGTCAATCCAATGCTTTCTAGTGCACAAGCGGGTTAAATGCCTATGAGACCATCTGATTCAAAAAGCAGTGTTTTCACTGTTTCAAAAGTCTTATTTTCACATAGCCCTCCAAAAATGATTTGTTGCAAAATTCATTTGCAATATGTGAGAATTATTTAATTGTACACAGTATAGATAGTAAAGATAAAGATATGGTATATAGTATAGTAAAGATACACATTTTGTTTCTTTATTTCTATTTCACCAGTATTTGATCAGCTGATTTAAACTACAAAGAATCTTAAAGATTCTTAGACAATGTAAACGTATTAAATGCTTTTTTTTATTTAATAAAATTTATGTCTGTTGTCTTTATCCATAACATCTATCCATATATTTCCTATTGAATAATTGTTTATTAACAGTGCCTAATTAATGGATTGATTGATTTATTTTGGCTTATTTCCCTTATAGTCAGTATACTATATAATGACCAATTATTTTTATTAATGTGCCCAATATTATTTGTTAATTACTTACTTTTTTTTAACTTATGTATTATATGTTTACTTTACATGAAGTGCTTAATTAATCAGTGTCTAATTAATATAATTAACTACCCTTATTTATATCAAGTGCCTAATTTTTATTTCTCCTATATATAAAGTGCCTAATTTTGAATCTAATTTTAAAAGTGTTACTGATTACCCAATGAATCTCTTATATATATTATTCATTTATTATACCTATAAATATAAATACATAAATTAAAAAAATATATATAATTATTACCACATTTTGATTTTTATTAGTGTATAGATTTTAAATATGTTTTAATTTTTATTAGTTGTTTGTAAAATATCCCCAAAATAGTAAAAAACAAAACA